TTATCAGTGATTTATTTTCTCTGCCTGGAGTGTACCTCTTACATCATGCTCTAAGACATTGTTCATTCTACATTCCTAAGGAACCAAGGATGACTTCAGTCTCCAGTGATCTCTCTCCTCAAAGTTGCTCTTGCACCTAATTCCATCGAGCTTGACTTAGCAGCTTTGAGGTGCATTTCCTTCACAGGACACTCAGCTTATTTGGTGCTTTGTGTGTGCTCGTCTCTCGTATGACCTCATCTGATGAGCAGCTCTGTGCTGCCTCTCTGCTGTGTTCATCACTTTAAGTGCTGTAGTTTAAAGACCCTGATAATTATCCAGTTAGTGCCAAGAAGATTGCCCATCGGAGCTGCTGAGATCTCCTACAGTTATCTCCAGTGTTTCTACCAATTGCAAGGAAAATTGTAAGGAGGTAAACTAAGCACCTCAGATAGTTTGATAAAGAAGATGGCACCTCCAGATACTTTAACTATTCTTAAAATGAAGGAGGCAAAATTGGTTTTTTATTTCTTAGTTTATGAGAGCCAAAGAAGGTTGATGCAAATCTGTACTACTTACCTATTAGTCCTTGTTCATCAGAAGCAACAAGAACAGGGGAGGAACTTTGGACTCAATGTTAGGAGGCTTCCCAGCTCTGCCTTGACCTGTGGAGTGGCTGCAGGGAATGGGGTAACTCTGGCCTTCCCCTGAAGAACAGCCACTCAAGTGAGATCCAGCCATCAGTTTCCGTTTCTGGTACTATGATGTCTGTCTTGAAGGGAGAGCATCAATTATACTTTTAAGCTGCAGTGGCTAGCACTTATACCATTTACTATTATGACAAAGTATTGAGGGCACTTACAGTCTATTTGATCGTTACTCAGAAGTGCTTCCAACTTGAACTTCTTCCTATGGGAGAACAGGGCTCTCCATCAGAAAATCTTTTTTATGTGATTTTCATGAATGGAAAAACTAGGAAATGTGTGTATGTACACAGTCAATCTTAACAAAATTTTGATACTTTGAACCACTGTCCCATTAACTGTAGGATTCCTGGTTTCTCTTCCTTAGTAGTAACTTGTCCAATAGTCCCTTTCTATCCCTCCCCTCCACTTACCCTACAGATTCCTCTTTGTATTTTCCTACTATAAAGCTTCTCACAGGGATGTTCCCTTGCCACAGTGGGTCTGACCTTAGCACATGTTGATATCAAGTTGCTTGTTTATCAAGTCCACTGGACGAAACTTGCATTCGGAGTTTGTACATTGTACCTAGTGCAGGAAGGAATTTCTACAAAGGAATGCATGGGTGGATGGATAATTAGACAAAAGAAGAGAGATAGAAGTAGTGTGAGAGGATGGGAGACAGGAGGCAGCAAGAATTAACAGACGAGTTCCCCATCAGCATCTTCTTAGTTGCCATCATAAATACAGTTTGATAATGACAGCTAAAGGTAAGTATAATACTAGTAATATTAATGGCATACCAAGAGTTTAAAAAAAGCCATACAGACATTTGAATAAAGTCTAGAGTGCAGCTGAGTATTTATTACTCATGTAATAACATGCACCATGTTAGCATTTATTAGACTTGGCTCTAAGCTAGCAGCAAAACTAAATGAAAGTACCCTATTTGGTGGAAGGTCGATTATAATAAAAATTTATTTAAATAGAGTCATGGTTTATATCTTTTAAGACTCAAGGAAGGTCTCAAATGACCCAGTGGAAAATTATCAAGTACCATCCAACTACTTTAGTTTCTTCCTTTAGAATCTTCACAAAAGCAACTACATAGAACCCTTTCTCTGGTGGGAGAAGAGGAAGGATTTGCTTTTGTGCTCCTTGACATGAGCACATACTGCATTTAACGGCAAGGAAATGTAAATGGTGTGTATTGTTGATATATGGGACAAGTGAGATCAGAGAACAAGTCCCAGCAGCTCCTCAGGCACTGCACAGCTGTCTCAATATCAGCAGTCCCCTCTGACGTTTGATATCATCAATGAATTGAGGTAGATATAAACCCAGCATGTTCTGAAACAGCTGCTATCAAGCATATTAGGAGACTTCTATGGGTTATTTATTTATATAACGAATGAGCAATGTGTTTGGGCTAGGCTGTATATGTGCTGTAAGATAAGATTCACAGAAACTATAGCAGTCTACATTTTACATGCACCATTAATAACATGTTTCATATAAAATGTGCTGCTGTGATCAGTGTCCAAGGTAACACTGTCTGCTTAAAAAGTGGCATGAGCAAATTCAGATGCGAGGGGAAATTTCTTCAGGAATAAAATTCCTTGACGTTTAGTAAGATTGTTCCTCAGCAAACAAGGAAGCAGCCTTGGAATGTTTGGCTGAAAACCCCTTTCGCCTGATCATTTTACTCTTTCAGCAGGCCTGTCAGAGAGGCTGGCCTTTGTGGAGTCCTGTTCTTTTCAAATGTCACTCGAGCACTTGCCTTGCCAAAGCCCTTCCTGCCTGAGATGGAGCTTATGTAAGAACTGAAACTCAGAAGGCCTTCAGGAGCGGTCTAGCCCTGGAGCCCACTCAGCCCAGTATGGTGGGCTGATCTCTCGAGGCTGTGCTCTGGGGATTGACTTCTTCATCTATAAAAGGCAGTGATTTAACCGATGATATGTTTGGAGGTTGCAGTTCATGTCTGTTCATTCACTCAAAAGGGTCCATTGAGCATTTACTATATACCAGACATAGCACTGTTATGGAGAGTTTGGTGATGAACAAAATCAGTCAGGACACCAACACTCTGCCCCTGTGATCTTGGGGTAAAGGAGACACACCTATAGCCACGCAAAAAAAAAAAATCAAAACAGTCAGCAGTGACTTGGTGAGGGCCATGGGCATTGGAGGAACTCAGGGATCTGAAGAAGCTCTTATGAGGGAGATTCTTTCCATCCAGGAGGGAAGCCAGAGGGGGCCTCCCAGAGTGGGAGGATGTGGGTAGGAATTCGGAATGGAGCCCATCACACCATCTTGACCCAGATCCTTATCTCCCTGCATCTTTATTTCCTCATCTCTGAAAGTGGGACGAACATCAGGAACCTTTCATGGTGTTGTAAGTTTGCAGAGAGCATATTTGAAAGTACCCAGCACTGGGCTGGCAAATCACATTTCATTTGGTGTCTAAGAATAGCTTGGAGAGCAGAGCTGTGCTGTTTTATGAAGAGCTTTCCAGCTCCTGTAAAGGACGGAAAACAGTGTCCAGGCCTCTTTGTCCCTGGCTTCACGCTCTGTCCTCCAGGGTACCTGACCTCCCTTAACACATAAACCACGTTCAAAGCCCTTGACATGGAAAGTCCAGCTATGACCTTGTTGCATGATTAAAAATACAGAGTCCAGATCTGGGTACCTGGTCGGAGGTTAGATATTCCTGGCCTTCTTCCTTGTTATACATCCATGGAGAAAGGAGTTCACTCACAGCCAAGTTGGGGAAGACAGTCACCATCTGCCCCTGGGTTTCTCTATATGCCCCTACATAGGAGTTGTCTCTGCTTCACAGCCTATATAGTCTGGAAACTGTGGATCCTCACTCCCCATGTCTTTAGGGCTACTTATATATGCTCAGACAACTGCTTCTCGAGATAACGTGAGGTTCACTCCTTCAGAACTCCTCAAGGACCGAGGATTACTCCTTTAATCTTAGAAAAGCAAACAGGAGGACATAAATAGTCCGTCGATTGTTTAAAATTAAAATGGCCAACAATAATAAGTAATTGCAACAATAGCTTGAGGTCAGGGTCTTAATTTATTGGAGACCATTCAAGAATTTGAAACTTTTCACTAAGTTCATTTTTCACATCTTGTTTGGATCCTTAGTGCTCTGGCTTCCAGCAGCAAGGCGCTCCAATGCTTTGGTGCACGTGTTATTCTTGTTGCTGTGCCAGGCATGCAGGGAAGTAAGGTCCTCACTTCACGGATGGGTAATGATGATTCCTCCCTTAAAAATTCGCATTTCAAAGTATGATGGCCTACTGAGATTTGGGGCAATTCTCTTCTCTTCCACGCTGTATTAACTCTATTAATGGTTACAAACTACAACAAACATGTGTGGGCTGGTTAAAGCAGAAGAGGAATCTTGGGAAGGAGACAGGCTAACTCTGAGAATGGACATGAAATGGGGGGAGGTTTTCTCCAGAGCAGGAAGTCATTTCTGGGCTCCCAGCTCCCTGCAGCCATCTTGAATAGTTCCAGAAGACTGTGGTGTGTTTGTTGCCACAGAAAGAATAGATGGATGGATGGATGGATGGATGGATGGATGGATGGATGGTTGGATGGATGGATAATAGATGATAGATTGACAGTGAGCAGACAATGGGTGGAAAAGAGAAAGTAAGAAAGGAAAAAGAGGGAGAGAAGGGAGGAAGGAAGGGAGGAAAGAAGGGATGAAGGGAGAAAGGGAGGGAGGGAGGGAAGGAGGAAGGAAGGGATGAAGGGAGAAAGGGAGGGAGGGAGGAAGGGAGGAAGGAAGGAAGGAAGGAAGGAAGGAAGGAAGGAAGGAAGGAAGGTTGCAACTCATTCTTTCTCCCAATCTGGCACTTTATCCTATCCTTCTCTGTATCTTTTCTCTGTATCTCATATCACAAACTTACATGTGCGTTTGCTTCTTTGTCTTTGTGTTCTGTCTTCCTGAAGCCACACAAAAACATGAAAACCCTGCTCTGTGGCAGGTAGGATGTGCTGAAAACCTTTTTGAATGCTTTATTGTGTGCTTAAGTTCCATGTATAGATGATCAAATGTCTTATGCGATTTACCAAGATGGATATGCAAAGTCCACATGAACCATAAAACATCATAGGGCTTCAGGCATCTCAAGGCTCGGGAACTTAGCTGGGAAACTGGAGGCCCTCCTTGCTGGCGGATTGCCTAGGGGCATACGGCTGGTGAATGAAGTTCCTGGGCCCAGTCATGTTATTCCTTATAGGGTATCTGCCCTCTCCCTCAGCTGTCCACTAGTGCCTCATGTTCAGGACATTCATGGAGACTTGTTTCCCCTACAGCGTTGATGACAAGACCCCGTATCTGGCTCTGGGTGCTGTGAAGAACATCTCCCTGAACATATCCATCTCCAACCTTGGGGATGATGCCTATGATGCCAATGTGTCCTTCAACGTCTCCCGAGAGCTCTTCTTCATCAACATGTGGCAGAAGGTAAGGAGGAAAGCCCGACGGGAGAGTCTTTTTTCCATCTACCGCCTTGGTTTGGGGCTTGGAATTTGCCATGATTCTTCCAAGACTGTTCCTTTATGTAGCATTTGGAGCTACTTGAATTTTTTCCCCTTGGAAAAAGTGTGGGCTGGGGCGATAGCACAGCGGTAGGGTGTTTGCCTTGCATGCAGCCAATATGGCCGACCCGAGTTCGATTCCTCTGCCCCTCTCGGAGAGCCTGGCAAGCTACCGAGAGTATCTCGCCCGCATGGTAGAGCCTAGCAAGCTACCCTTGATGTATTCGATATGCCTAACACAGTAACAATAAAGTCTCCAATGGAGACGTTACTGGGTCTGCTCGAGCAAATCGATGAACAATGGGAGGACCATGACCATGACCGTGAAAAAAGTGTGTGGGTGTAGGCAGGGAAGAAACCCGAAAAACCCTGTGTCAGGAGGTTCCCAGATCTCACATGCCTCCGTGTCTCCTTGCTCGAGCCATCTCTCAACAGTCACAGGTCTAGGTCCTTCTTAGTCACCATCTCCAGCATCTCCAGACTGGTGAATTCCATTTTCAGGTCAATTGTGCAAAGCAAATGAAGAAGTAAGGATAGCTCGGCTTATTGCTTACTGGGCTTGTCACCAATGACGCATTGCAGGGTTCCCATTAGAGGGCTGTATTTGTTGGTTTATCCCTTTATCATATTATTCCTGAAATATTTTGTGAATTGATAAAAATCAAATTATTTCCGTGAATTGAGTGAGTCTTTGGGTGCAAATTAATTTATTTGAGTGACTCAAAGTTGAAAGAGCACCATTCAGAAAGTCAAAGGGGAGCTGGCACAGACTCCTGCCCATCTTCAGCTGCATGAACCACATTTGGGAGGAGAGACTCAGGGCCCCTCTGCAGGCAGGAAGAATGAGCAAGAGGTGGGCGCACTAATTCTTGCCTGCATTTGCAGTGTGTCCCATTGCTGATGGCATTGCAGTGCTCGGCCTTGATATTTGTTTGCATGGCACCAAAATCACTTTCTAAGGGTAATCTTTGCCCAGCCCACATCCAAGCACTGGGTCTGCCTTTGATCCACTGGGTGGCCTGATATTCAGATCCAGAACCTGCCGAGCTCATGGATACCACAGGTCTTGCCACCCCTCTCCCAGCTTGGACCACTGAAGTTTCAAACAACAAAATTTTCTAGAATGGCTTCTCAGACTCTGCTGCTCAGATGCCTGAGGAGTTCTGCTATTGGTAAAGTCACAGAAGCAGTCAGGGAGGACTTTGGGGGTTGGCAGTGATGGTCAAGTAGCAGAGGATGTGCCATATGTGTAAAAGGTCCTGGGTTCCATCCCCTTCACCCCCACAAATGCTGCCACATGGGAGCCCGGTAACCCCTCAGCACCAGCGGGAATGTGGGGAGGACATGGTTTGGGCCACCTCTGTGTCCTCAGAACTGTCCCTTGGTATCATCCCAGTCAAGACAAAGCAGGGTATGTCCCGGGCTCTGGTGAATCTGACTACACAAGAGTGTGGTCCTGCCTGCCCCGTATAGCTACTTTCCTACAAGGTCAGGAGATGAGAGGTGGGTGGGTGGGTGGAGAGGGGCAACTTGGAGCTCCAGACCAGCCTCACACACTGTGACAACTGAACAGATGTGCCTGACTATGGGGCCTGGGTCCCTCACACAGGACCCATGGAGAACAGTCTCTGCACAGTCACAAGGAGGAATAGTTGAGTTTTCCCTGAGCACTTTGACTTGGCTTTTTTGCCTGTGGACACAAAGACGTAATTCAGTCATATCTTTATAACTGACTTTGTTATCGCAGTTGTCTGCGAGCAAGTTCTCTATGGCCGGATCCACCTCTATGGTGCCAGTCTGCAGGATTTGGTGGTGATGGTGAGGCACTAAGTCACCTCCTGGATCTCACTTTGTTTCCTTTTGCCGTATTTTCCTTCTTAGCATGGAAACAGCGGAATAATCTCTCCTGTGCTATACTATAAATTACTTACAGAATCCTATGCTTAGTTATTTAGAGTATTTTAGTATTGTTCTCTTTGAGATAATGTTGGGTGTGCCTATCATGTGGGTTAGTAGAAATAAGTGATGAGAGCCTCTGTTCTACAACTGTTGGGCAGATGGGAAGGATACGTGGAACCTACTTACTATACCCAGGGCCATGACCTATGTTTTCTTATTCCATGCTTGCTGCAGATATCCAGCCACATCTAACTTCCTGTGGAAATGCTCTTGGATAGGAGGAGTGAGGAAAGCAGCAGGAGGTGGGGGAGGGGCCAAGGGAGGCTCTGCTGGGTTAGAATCTCACCTTGTTCTGATGTGTAGGATGGGAGGATGGGAGGGGATACTCTGGAGCAGAGGTTCCCAAACTTATGTGGCCTACAGCCCCCATTTCACAAAAGAGTTACTCACCATGCCCTGGAAATCCACCTCCTTTCACACGTTGGTGCTGGCACTGCAAGTTGTGTTAACTAAATCACATTCATACATATGCCATGGCCAGGCCAGCATGTTAGCAAACAAACAGCAAGCATCTCCCCTTTCCTAGTTGCACCCAAAGTTACTCTGGCCACTCTAGATTATGGACTAAGGGTACCGGGAAAGGGGTGGTATCATTGACTTTGGGAAATGTTGCTCTAAAGGACAAATCCTTTAAGGGACTTGTTTCTCCTCGAAGCATCAGAGGTGTGTCGTTGTTCCTCTGTGTCATCAGGGAGTCCTAGGTGGGAGAGGAGAGGCATGGCCCCCCACATTCTGGAATAGGAGCTGGGGCCAGTCGGTCACGTGAAGGACTGGAGAAGACCAGAGTGTGTGCTTGGCCTCTGGAGCTGATTTTGGAGGAATGGGAGCCTCTCATTTTGATCTCTGTGCCATCGAGTCCTGGAAACCTGAAAAGCCTTGGGGTCTAATTGCATATCTCAGTCCTTTGCTCCACAGGGTCGCCCAGGCAATAAAAGACGTAGTCCCTGAGTACTAACCCACAAACCTCCCTCGGCACTTGCCAGGGGTGAATCCCCAAACCAAAAGCTAAAAACCAAACCAAAACAAACCAAAAAAACTTCTTGGCACAGGGAACCCCAGGCTTCAGTATTGTAGAAAGCTGGCAAGGGCTCGGGGGACCCATGTGGTGCCAAGGATCAAACTTGAGTTAGCCTTGTACAAGACTAGGACCCTACCAGCTGTACTATTGCTTTGACTTAGACCTCATGAATGCTTAAGAATATAAAGATGCTAATGCCAGAGCAATAGTACAGTGGGTAGGGCACTTTACCTGTAAGCAGCCAACCTGGATTTGAACCCCAAAACCCCATATGGTCCCCCAACTCCAACAGGAGCGATTCCTGAGCCAGAGGATCTGCACTGAGCAGGTGTGGTCCTCCCCCCAAAAAACAAAAAAAAATTTTTAAAGACTACAAAGATTCTGTGGATACCTAACAGAAAAGAAACCATTTCATCTAGATCTTTTCTGTATTGATATAAAAAATTAGAACATGCTCCACAATGAGCTATGCCTAGCTCCACAAGGATTCTATGCCCAGGGACCAGGGAAATAGTGCAGGGGTTGGCATGTGGAAGAAGATGTTCCTCCCTGGCTTTGCCTGGGTGGCTGGGAGTTGCTGGAGGTCCAGAGCTCAGCCAGATGAGGTGCTGATGGTGCCTAGAACCACAGTGCTAAATCAGCACAGCTCCCACAGGCCCATGCATCCAGGTGCTTGTTCTGCGTAGTTGGTTGAGATCAGCAGGAGTGACTCCAGGCCCTTAGCTCTACTTGGAAATTACCTTCCCCTACCCCCAAATTCTCTACCTCACAACTTGGCCTGCACTGTGAGGGCAACGAAGACCCCCTTCATGTGGAAGGGAATTTGGGGTCTGTTAACTCTCCAGGATTACCAGAAGCAGTCTGCCACATGACCTAGATAGATGCAGGACGTCTCTCTGCAGTGATGTGTGGAGACCTGGACAGGGCTGAGTGTCAACAGAGAAGGGATGAAAGGGAAAGGTGTGACCCAGCCAGCAGGTGACCACAGCGGGAAACTTGGGCTCATCCTGCCACAGACACTCAGGGAGACAGTCTGAGGGATGCATCTCAGCACATAACCCTGAGAGGCAAGGAAGCTGCGAGTCTTCCCCACCGACTCCTGTCCCCATCCACAGAGTGTGACTCCATGGCAGCCGCTCATTCCCCTCCCTCATTCCTAGCATGCTCCAGGCCTGGGAAATCCCCTCTCAGGCAGAGACGGGTAAGGGGCTGGCTTCAGGTGGTCAGCCTAGCGGTTGGTTCTGGGGCACACCAGTGCTCACTCACTCTGGAAGACCACCGCTGAGGAAGAGTCACTACCCATAAAGCAACCAAGAACATAGCAGTGGTCAAATAAGAGCAGGAGTTCATGCCATAAAGCACCAGAGTAAGCAGAAACAACACTGACAGGCATTTAAAATGGTGACCAAATGTCAAACAGAAGCCTCAACCAGATTACTGAAAACTGAGCCCACAAGAAGCTCAGTCCTGTCATAAAACTTGAGGAGAAACTTGACTGCCCCACTCCTGCTGCTTCACATCTTTGGGATGAAGTTCAGACGCCAGACACATATGTCAGCTGCTCACAGGCAACCTCTCTGAGACCATCCTGCCATCCTTCTCCCCTTCCACGCTGTTCCCCAGCCCCCACTGCCCTCTGGAATCTGCCTCCTTTGTAACTGACACTGCCTTAATCTAGGGACCACTGTCTCATGTTTGTTGGGTGAATGGCTCTGCTCTCAGATCTCAGCTCACCCGGGCAGTGCAGGTGGTGTAGATGGAGGGGGGCCGGGGGCGGGGGTGAATGGTTGTTCCTCCTGCTTCTTGGCATCCAGAGAGGACGAGCAGCTCAGGACCCAGGCCTGCAGCCCCACATGTTGCTTTCGAGACAGGACAGGAGCATCCCCCGAAAGGCACAGCTGCATTCCTCGATCTCTGCCGGTCCTTTCCTTGAAGGGAAAGCTGCTTAT